GGTGTGCCCCACCGGCGTTGGTATTTGTATAGAAACAAATTAGCAGGAGTAACTTGTTCCAAGGTCGCAGAAGCCTGTTAAGCCCAAGGTTTTGGAGTCTTCTGTTTATTTGACCAGCCTTTCCAGATAATTATTTCTTTGGGGAACCATTCTTTTTTTTTTTTTTTTTTTTTTTTTTTTTTTTTTTTTTTTTTTTTTTTGAGACAGGGTCTCACTATGTAGTTGAGACTGACCTGGAAGGAACTCACTATGTAGCCCAGGCTGGTCTAGAACTCACAGTGATCCTCCTGCCTCTGCCTCCCCTCAGCCTCCCCAGTGCTGGGATTACAGGCGTGCACCACCACACCCGGCTTCACTCTCATTTTTGATAGTTAAGTTTCCAGAAAAGCCCACAAATAATTATCCCAGAGTAACTGGGGTACCGTGCTTGTGTAGTGACCCCAAATAGGTGACCAGAAATACTTGCATAAATGAGTCTGAATGGAGGAACATACTCTGTACTGGAGGAGGTTATGTCTACTGAAAAGCACAGTAAGATAAAAGTGATTTTGCTGCCTCACAAGCGCAAGGTCCCGAGTTTGATCCCCAGTACCCCCCAAAAAAGTGCTTTCAGATGCTCTGAGGTTCAAATCCAATGTTCGTTTGGAATGGCATTTCAATGAGTGGGAAAGAGGGAGCAAGCTCTCCAAATAGAGCAAGACTTGGGGCTGTGGTTTAGTGGGCTCTAGTTTTAGGACAGCATAGAACAAGAAAGAAATTAAAAACCAGAGCATCTTACATGTAACACCAAGGACTCATAGGAAAGGAACTCTTCCTTTTGAACCAAGGACATTTTAGGGTTTAGATGCATTCAAGCTTGGGAATGATCTGGCAGCAAAATAGGATGGACTGCCAAGAGGAGAAGTAGGAATGACTTGATCCGAGGTGGAATCCAGGCAGTGCAGGAGAGGGCATTGACAGATCAGCCCTAAGAAATGATGCACTCTGCCTTGGATGTGTTGCTCTAATCAGCTTTATGCTCCACGGCTGCGTGCGCATCCTATACAGGTGGTCTGCTACAATACTAAATTCGTACACACACACACACACACACACACACTCACTCACTCACTCACTCACTCCTGGGGAATCTGACTTTTACAAGATCACAGTAAAACCAAGAATTGGTGAGATAGAGCCAGTGAACTAAAGTACAACCAGAACTATCAGCATGTATCCCAGGCCGGCCCACCTTTCTGCCTCAGCCTCCAGAGTGCTGAGATTATAAGCATGTGCCACCATGCCCAGACAGAACTCTTAATAAATAGTAACTATCTTAACCAGAAATATTACTACAATTAGATCTTCATTAGCATCTTTTCACTTTTTTGCAATATTTAAAATTAAACCCAGAGCCTTCCAGCTGAACTAAGTTATGCAGGCTGAGATATCCAAACTTGGAATCCACCTGCCTCAGCCCCTGAGTGCTGGGATTACAGGTGTGAGCCACCACGCCCGGCTTAAAACATTTTTTGTTTTGAGATTGGGTACTACCAGGTTGCCTAGGCTGGGTTGAAATATGTGGCCCTCCTGCCTCAGCCTCCCAGAGTGCTGGAATTACGGGCATATGCCACCACACCCAGTCACATTTTTATTTACACCTAGATTCAGTAGTCATCCCCCTTTTCATATGTATAGTTAGTCTGGGGTTCATATTTCCTCAAGTCATTGGAGATTATTTTCAGGAGGACATTTTCATCAACATTAAATATGATGAAAAGAAAAGGCAGCCTTTTTTTTCTCTCAGTACTGGGGGTCGAACTCAGGACCTTGCACTTGCCAGGCAGGCATGGTGCCTCAGCTAAATCCTCCTCCAAGGCAGCCTTTTTAAACAAAGGAAACTGTCAACCTCTGCGGGGCTACAGCTCTTTCATACTTAAAGGGCAGCCTTTAAGGCCCTAGCTAGCCACTATGTTCAAGGGGAGGCACTTCTGTAGAATTTGCACTTGTGTTTTCCTTAGGGCTTTACTGTGCTAGGAGGAAGCCCGTGGGCAGCCTGATCTGGCACATTCCGGTAGCTCGAGCCACCCGATGAGACTGCCATGCACACACAGTGGTTCAGACAAGTCACAGCCCTGTCCTGAATGTTGTTAACCATTGTGTTTTTAGATCTACCTATCATGTCACCTACTTTGAATGAAGCAGTTTAGGAGAAGGAACTTATTTCTGACCTGCTGTGTGTCTGTAGTCCAAAAAGTAGTGCTGATTTACCTCCCAGCATGGGGAGCAATTGCGTGTAGCCATTGCAGCCTGCGGTCTTTGGAAGGGGCCTGTTGTGCACTGGATGTTCCTGATCTGGCCTACTTTTGGTTAAATTCCTTTGAAACTGTTAACTGCAGTAGAAATAGGTTAACTCGTAGTTTTAATCATTCACGATATCCCGATTATGTGGGAAGAAGGAAGTACCGAGCACACTGCATCTGCTTGTGCAGTGTGATCTCCGAGCTGAGATCACTGGAGCTCCCTCCCCTCCACTGCAGACAGGGTGGGGCCATGACCGTTAGCAGTTTCTCAGGTAAAAGCTGGGGCACATGGCAATTTGGGGCCACTCAGGATCAACAGCCCGGCCTCTAAAGGCATCACTTACCTAGACCTGGCCTGCGCTTCTGTTCAGAGCACTCACACATCCCAGTTGGGAGGACCTGTTGGTGACACAGGCACTCAGTACTAGAAGCCTTTCTAGTGCACTCATCACCTCCATCCCACAAGACTCAAGGCCGCTTCCAAGTTGGTTGCTGTCACTCTCTATGCTATGGACACTAAATACTCTGTTGAAAGCATCTTAGAAAGATGGGTGTGAGAAACAGCTGGCCAACCATGTCAGGTCCTGAGCCAGTGCGAGGAGGTCGGGGTCAGGCCGCAGGAGAGCCGAGCAGAGTGCTCATGTGGAATCTCCTGGGAAGGGGTTTACCCTTCACCACTCTGACAGCCCTGGCTCTGGAGGTTTGAGTGATTCCAGTATGGTTCTGCAGATTGGGGTGAGGAGAGTATAAGCTTTTTCTTAGAAATCATTGCTTTGGTCTCACCTGTAGCTTACACAAGGCTTTGTGTATATTTTCATCTCTCATTTTATCGCTGATGTGACAGACTGCTGCCTTCATGGGTACTGCAAAGGAATGAAGAACCTGTGAGTGACCATGTACGGATGGCTCTTCAGTTGTTAGTGTGTCTCACTGAATGGATCTTCATAACTCAGCTTTGTTACTTGAGCAGTACCATGTTTAGGGCATTAATTATTGTGTTCATCGCAGGCCTTACAAAAATGTTTAGATGCCTCTTAGTATGCTTTGGGAGAGAGCAAATTTAGATTTTTTTGGTATAGGAAGGGCTTAAAGGAGCAGCTATATACTTTCTGAAATCAGTATACAGGAACTGCCAGAAAAGCCGGTATTGTTTGCTGCAGGTAAATGGCTGCACCAAAGTAATTTTTTTAAAAAAACCATTACAACGAACTGTTGACTTGATTTTATTTTATTTGTTTTTTGAGACAGGGTCTCCCTAGGTAGTTGAGACTGACCTGGAACTCACTGTGTAGCCCATGCTGGTCTGGAACTCACAGTGATTCTCCTACGTCAGCCTCCCAAGTGCTGGGATTACAGGCGTGTGCCACCATGCCCGGCTGAGACTTGGTTTTAGATTTTCACATATATAGAAGACATTTAATAGTTCCATTTACCTATATATAGACTTTTATTTATTTTGGGAGGCATTGAGAACAGGGTCTCACTGTGTAGTTCAGACTGCTCTGGAACTCACTGTGTAGCCCAGGCTGGTCTGAACTCACAGGGATCCTCCTGCCTCAGCCTCCTGCATGCTGGGATTACAGGCGTGCACCACCACACCTGTGGCTCAAGGCTTTTAATCTTGGTGAAACCTTTCCCTAGAAAGAGAAAAATACTGGAAACTATAAAATGATATATAAATATAAACTTGGCTTTCACATTTGTAATCTCCACTTTCTGAAATAGGGCAGGTGTGAGGGTGTTTGGGGATTAAATAGGAAGTCCTTAAGTGCCGAGAAATTCTTATGTGTTCATCTTAATTCACCTCCCTGCCTAATTAAAATATGAACATCTCCTGAAGTTGGGCCAATTATTTTTGTCTTCTGTTATCTATCTAGTGCTCAGTGTGGTTTTGTTTTTGCTTCTGCAGCCTTCTCTGGTGCCCATGGCAAACCCCAGTGAATATGTGGAATTGCTGACCCCATTCGCTGGCCTTAGATTAAATCAGTCCATTCAGCTGGATGTGGTAGGTGGGACACTGGGAGGCTGAGGCAGAAGGATTGCAAATTCAAGTCCAACCTTGGCAACTTAATGAGATCCTGTCTCAAATAAAAAGGGCTGGGGTTGTTGCTCAGCGTGAAGGCCCTGGGTTCAGTCCCTAGTACCGCAAAACAAAAATCTCATCTCCTTTTTATTTTGGAGGTAGGGGTGGGGCAGTGCAGAGTGTCTTGTTAATTGTCCTCTTCTCTCTTCGTGCTGTTCATTTGCATCCTTGCAGGCTGTAGCCTGGTCCTGTTCATTCTCTTCGCTGAGTTTATCTCTGTTCTTGCTCCTAATGCCCGCTTCCCTCCTGCCCCCAAACGTGGCCTTGCTCTCATTTGAACTCTAGTGGAATATTCAAGTTAAGCAGGCAAGAACTTTAATACAACACTCTGGTTTTCAAGTCCTTGCCACTACATCTGTATCAGAGCTCTTTTTAAGTTAATAGTTTGGTCATTTTTAAATGGATCATTTTTTGGAAAAAACATTTAATGTTTTGATCAAGTGCAGTCGTTTTTTGAAATGTCAGGACAAGTCACTAGGCCAGACCACAAAGGGACGTGCCTTCACGGGGCCACAGATTGTAGGATCCGATATAGTAAGCCCTAGACGTGACCAGAGGGCTGAAAAACTCAGTTTTTAATTTTATCCAATCTTCAGCATGTTGGACAGTGCAACTCTACAGCCTCAAAAGCATGAAAAATCCAAAAGGAGCAAGGCTCGTTCAGGCCAAGCTGGGATTCTTGTCACGTCGGAGTCGTGCGTCGGCAGGGCCGTGTCAGTCCGTGAGTAAAGGAAGGAAGGAAAATGCTGGGCTTCGACTCACTCTACCATCACTAAAAGATCAGTGTCAGCACATCTGCTTTTTTTTTGTTGTTCTTGTTGCCAGGGATCCAACTCAGAACCTTGTGCTTAAGAGGCAGGCTCTGTGCTACTGAGCTAAATCCCTGGCCCACATCTGCTTTCTTAAGCTAAACACAGATCTTTCCTAGACTGTACAAAACAGTTACTCATTTAAATTAATAGGTGGATTTGAACATCACTATGTAGCCCAGGCCAGCTTCGAACTCCTGATCCTCCTACCACAGCCTCTGAGTGCAGGATTAAAGGCGCAGCCACCACGCCCAGTTTGTATAGATCTATTTCAGAGGCTTTCTGAATAATTTATGAAAAGGTGATAGGGCTGTTCAGGGGACCTGTGTGTTTGGCTTTTGAAAACTTAATCACACATTGATGTCCTGTAGATAAAAGATGAGTCTTAAAATCTGAAGCTTAAAGCTAGCTGTGGTCAGCCAGGCATGGTGGTGCACCCCCATGATCCCAGCACTCTGGAGGCTGAGGCAGGAGGATCTCTGAGTTTGGGACCAGCCTGGGCTACATAGTGAGACCCTGTCTCAAAAAAAAAAAAAAAGTTCCCTGTGGTCCTCCAGCACTGGGAGGGCGAGGCAGGAGGATTGCATGTTTTGAGCCCAGTTGGGCAATTTGGAGACTGAGGGGGGGGGTACCTGTCTCAAAATAAAAAGCAATAAAAGCCTGAAGTAGCTTAGTGTGAAAGCTTTGGGTTTAGTTTCCAGTATCACCGCCCCCCCAGAAAATTTTGAAGCTTAAAGGTTTAGAAAAGCAGACAAACTAATGTGTTTTCCAACATTAACCTTATGTAATAGAGCTCTTAAAGACTCGTGGCTAACTAGGAACATAATAGTCATTGTCCTGTATATGTAACAGTTTGAATTTTATTTTTCAGGACTCAAACATTTTGAATATTGGGCTTTGAAATTCCTTTACTAAATATCCATGTTTCCGTGGCTAGCCACACGTCACACTGGTGCTGTGCTGTGAGGGTAGTGAAGGAAGTGCTTGGGTGGTACAAATTTTACCCAGCTGTGCACCTTGGGACCATAATGTCAAGTGAAATAAATTAGGCACAAGGCTTTTATTGCGTGGTTTCTCTTAATGAGAACCTAGCATAGCCAGGCGTGGTGCACCCCCATCTCCCCAGCACTTGGAAGGCTAAGGCAGAAAGATTGCCGCGAGTACAAGGCCGTCCTGAACTACTTAGCAAGGCTCCGTCTCCAAACAAAAAACCTCAGTGTACATAAAGAGCAAAATGAAAGCTAGATAATAGGAAACAAGGAGATAGATCTTTTGCAAATGGGAAGGGGACCTAGAAATGGAGGGGGAGTAAGAGCTTTCTCAGCTAGAAGCGGCATGTTACTCCTAACCCATACCTAGTCACCAGTCTTAACAGATTGCCCTAGATCCTCAGTAACCCTCGTGTGAGGGGTTACTATAGAGATCCAAACTCGGGCCTCTGCTGGTCATGGCATGCAAGTTCTCTACCTCTGCGCCAAACCTGCAGCTCAAGCCTCTTCTTTGAACAAACACAAAGGCTTTGAGACAGTTTCACTTTGTTTAAGGTAGAATTTGAGCGTAGGGACCCTGGCACCCTTTTATTGGACTGCTACCTTTTTTCAGACTTTTACAGTAGTGTCACACATACTTAGTTTCTTAGCCCACCCTTAATAATCTTTGCACTCTTTAATCTCCTTCTGCCTTCATGTCATTAGTTCTGAGTAACTATAAACCAAGAACAAGTAGCATTTGAGAGCAAGGCTAATTCTTGGGAAGTGCATCCAAGTCAGTAGGTTGAGAGTGGAGCACTGGTGACGGCCCACAAGAGTAGGGGTTTCTCATAAGCAGGCCCAACCGCAGGCCCCAGGCCCGACACGCGTGGCAAGGAAATCATGCGCTGATAAGCACCAAGGAATGAAATCCGTTACCCACATCTTCTGATACTTGCTAGATTTGCTTAACTCTGGCACGTCTGTTTCTGATTTTGATACTTGAACACACTGATGATGAGGCCATAATTTGTATGTCTTCCTGCCAGACGGCTGTGAGCCACCGGTGGTGCATGAGTGACTGTCTTGGCGGGCAGCACAGGTCATGTATGTGCCACCTGTGGTGCAAGCCAGTGGGAACATGTGACACCCTGTGTGCCAATGCTTAGACCTTGTGTTAAGGCTTAAATCTACATTTCACTTTACCAGTGTTCTCTTTGGACTTTCTGATGTCCCCAAAGACAGCCTCACTATTTCAGTGAGTGGCTTTTCAGCTCTTGTTAATTTACGGTGTCGACTCGACTTGCCACTGTCATGTGCTTGAAGGGGTGCTGCAGTTGTTTGGTTTTGAAGCAAGAATCCTGTCCAGGCCCAGGCCGGCCCCTGAGCAGAACTCAGCCTCTGATCTGAGGTACGGGTGTGTTCCTACAAAACATGTGCTGCTTTTTTCTTGGTACTGCGCATCGAACTCAGGACCTTGCACATGCCAGGCAGGTGCCTTGCCACAAGTTACACCCCGGCCCTGTGTGCCGCTTATGTCATGCGTCATGTCCCCGGCTCAGCCTCCTGTCGGGTAGGGGGCTCCCGAACTGCTGTCAGTCAACTTTCCTGTTAGGAAGGCTGAGCTGCCATTAGCTCACCTGGCTGTCCACCCTGGAGGGCGGGAGCTGGGGAGATGGAGTACTGTAAATGATTGGATAAGGATTTTAGGCCACGCTATCTGGCAGCACAAAAGCAGCCAGACCCTATGTGAAAGTGAATGCGCCTGACTGGATTCTGACAGTTTTATCTGTGGTTGCTGAAACTTGAATGTTAAATAATTGAGAAGTCTGAAACCTACCTCTGTGGCTCATAGACTGTACCGAAGCAGGTGTGGGCGCCCTGTGCCCACCCCTTCATTGTTCCTTTTGAGTTACACCTGTCTTATCAATGAAGCAGCTCTGCTCGTTTATATAGGCATCACTTCCCACCTCATTGTTAGCGTAAAGCTGGACCAAGCACTGGCTTCACGTGCATTTTCCCTATTCCTTTCACAGCGTCTCTGTCTTTCAAGTACTCTTACATCTTCGGGGTGAGAGAACAGGATAACTACATGCTTTAAATTTATAACTGATCCGACCACAACTCAGTGCCCTCAACCCTAGTGCTAAAAAAAAACAAAAAACAAAAAACTTTGCTTTTAGCCTTTGTTAATATCTAAGAATTAGAAAGTTGTATTAATTGAGTCTGGTACTTTAAATGATTTCATTATTCACAGATTGATTTAGTGGTGTGGCCATGTTAATGTGGAATTCTGATTTTAGCCTTTTGTCTGGAGACGGGCTCGCTGTGTATTCCAGGCTGGCCTCGAACTCTGGACTGTCATCCTGCCTGAGCCTCCCGAGGCTGGGGTTACGGGCTGTGCTGCCACACCCAGCTGCTTTTAGCCCTTGTATTGTTTCCCAGGTGCTTCTTTGTGATATAATATGTACCCCTAGTGGTTTTAATGAAACCAAGGAAGGAGTAAAGCTTGCATGAGCTCTAGCCCTGCGGGACTTGAGAATGTAGTGCTTCTGAGGCTGAGAAGACGGGTGTGTGGGTCTTGCAGGTGCTGCTGGTGAGTAGCAGTCGGTACCCAGACCAGTGGATCGTGCCCGGAGGAGGAATGGAGCCTGAGGAGGAGCCAGGAGGTGCAGCCGTGAGGGAAGTTTATGAGGAGGTGAGGGATTTTGCTGTGTGATACTGTACCAAGGGGAGGGCAAGAGAACCGGCAGGTCACAGCAGTGCTTTTGCGTTTGCGGTCCAGCCCAGCATTTTAGGTATGTGACCGCAGATAGCATCTTGCTAAACAGATTTGTTGTTTTGGTTTGTTTTTTGAGACAGGGTCTCACTATGCAGTTGAGACTGACCTCGAACTCACTATGTAGCCCAGGCTGGTCTTGAACTCACAGCGATCCTCCTGCCTCAGTCTTCTGAGTCCTGGGATTACAGGCGTGCACCACCACGCCTGGCTCTAAACAGATTTGTTTTTAACCTGGTAAAATATGAAGAGCTAAAATCATGTGGATGTCCCCCATTGTAGTAGAACCTAACTTCCTGTGGTCAGACTTACTGTTCCATGATGGCCTTGCTGTGGACAGGGTTGCACAGACAACGACCCTGTGCTATAATTTCTCAAACAAGTGAGATGCAGACTGCTTTTATTTTACCCTTTATCGTAAAGTTCAGTAAAGGTAGCACATCCTCCTGCACTGAGTCACACCGCCGATCTGCTAGTTTTCTTTCCCTTGACAGCAGGATTCACTTTCACTACCAGGCAACAATACAAGTGAGCAGCGGTCGAGGGAACCTTGTGCTTGCTCACAGGGCTGTGCTGCACACCTCAGAAAGAGCCCCAGGCAGGGAGTCGTTCAGATGCAGATTGGAGGGGCGTGTGGGAGCCACAGCAGGTACCAGAGAATGGGGAGGACTGCAGAAGGGCATCCCACAGAATTTACATCTGGGCCACAGGAACAGGAGCAAAGCAAGGCTTTCGATTAGGAACAGAACAGTTTGTTCCTGAAGGAAAGCCTTTGGTTCATGAAGTCTGACCCAAGTTGGTGGTCTAATTTCGTTAGCTCTTGCTAACCACAGCCACAGCCAAGTCTTCACAAAAGCTGGAAGGTAGGGACCTGGTTTAGGAAGGTCTGTTGTGTTCAGATTAAAAAACTGAAAGAGCCAGAATATAAGTTGTAAAAGTGTCTTTATCATGCAAAGATAAATATTTTGCGTTTTATCTTTTTTAACAGGCAGGAGTCAGAGGAAAATTGGGCAGGCTCCTGGGAATATTTGAGGTGAGTTACAGTCAACCCCCTTGGGTTGATAGAATTTAAACAAAACTGCCCGTAGGCAAGGCAGTCACAGGGTCAAGACAGGTAAGTGAAAGCCGCCGAGCCCTGTGTACCCCATGAGTGTCACACGGCACTGCGGTGCGGCCGCCCTCCTGACCTGCAGTGGAGCAGCACAGAAAGTCTCTGTGCACACGGCAGAGGAGCCGCCTGACGACCGGGCCGCCTGTGGGTTCTCCCGATGCACCCCACCACCGTCAACACGTAACACCGGACGACATAACGACGGTCCGGGGACTGCAGGAAGACGCACGGGTTCAGCCAAGGCAGGGCGGCACGTGCCTGCCACCCGAGCGTCTGGGTGCTGTAGATTTATATAATGTTTGTAATATTATGATCTGCCTGTGAGGTTCTACTGCAGTTTGGGGGGACATCCACATTTGACTTCAGCTCTTCAATATAATACGATCTGTTTATTACTCACAGCAAAATGGAATTTTCAGAGAGGGAATTTGAAAGTGTTAGGTGCTCCATGGAAGGCAGACAAGAAGAGGTCAGGTTCCAAGACTTCAGAATTCTCAAATAATTCAGACCGGCAAACAGACTATGCCAGAACATGGGGACTATAATTACTTTTTCAAGATAATGGTAGGAGCACACAAATTTTTAAAAACCCCAGTTGTACAGCTCTTGGCAGAATTAATGACTCACGGATACAGTACCCTACAGCAGTCAAGCTTCGGAGGCGTAGTCACTTCCCAGAAGTCAGCACTTGTTTTACCCAGTTCCGTAGCACCATCTGCTGGTTAAACTGAGAACTGCCGATTCAGATGACACATCTGTCACTGTGGTGACAAGGTCTTTGAGGAAAACTCGTAAGGCTTCTGATATTAGAGGTGACTATTTCACAAATACTGTTTTGTGGAGGGGGCAGGATTGAGACAAAATCTCACTATGGCCTTGAACTCAGACAGGCCTCAAACTCCTAGAGATCCTTCTGCCTCAGCCTCCCAAGTCCTGGGATGATAGCCATGTACCACCGCACCCAGCTCAAAAACACTATTTAACACAAATGTCAATCTATATACTTATCCCCTCAGAAAATTAAGTAAAAATTAGAATCATCCTGCTCCTTTACTCAGTGATGGTAATGAATTTGTGAGTGCACTACAGTAAACACATTGATTTGCTGGACATGGAAATAAGAAAACCGACTCGAGAAAAAAATGTACACAACAGGTGCCTTTATTTTATTGATTTTCCTACTCCTTCCCAAAACCATAATACAGTTTGAGTACATTACTCAAGTTATTTTGGAAGAAAAAACTCAAGGCAGTTATTTCGGCCCTCGACTACAGCAGATGACTAAATTTAATCGGGGTAAAGGTGGCCTCTTCATCTGAAGGCCAGCTTGTGTTCCACACCTGTAATTCCAGCAGTTGAGAAGCTGAGGCAGGAAGACTGGGGGTTTAGGGAGGACTCAGCTCCACCGTGAGACCATTTCAACACGAAAAAGGAAAACCCTGATGCTGTGTGGCATTCACAGCCCAGGGTGTGCATGCTTCGTTTTTAAACAAAGTATCGGCACTCTGGTCTTCATCTCTCACTGACTAACTCATGAGAAGGAGAAAGCCATGTGAGGGATCTAGTAAAAAGGCCAAGCAGAGGCCGGGTCTAGGACAGTCACCTGTGCTGCGTGTGCACCGTGAAAACACACAGGTGCTCTAACAAAACCGGGGTGTTCAGGGCCCAGTGGAAGCAGCTTTTCACACATTGAAAGATTGTCCAGAAAAAGCTACAGGGAAAAGAACCTCGGGCAAAAGTTTACAGGAATACAGTTCTTACTACAGGATCCCATTCAGACAGTACGATTTTCTTTATGAATAAAACCAAATATACATAAATCACACTTTTCTAAGTTTATTATTGGGAGCTAATTTGACTGTTGGTGGTGGGGTTGCAGCACCTGCCTTGGTGACCTGGTGTACTACATCTGTGGTAGTGCCTGTAGATTAAAATGCTCTTCTTCTTTCTATATTCAAGCAGAACCAAGATCGAAAGCATAGAACGTATGTTTATGTTCTAACAGTCACTGAAATACTAGAAGATTGGGAAGATTCTGTGAATATAGGTAAGTCCTTTTCGCTATCTGAATTCTCTTACGAAGTCACTGTTGCATCCAGTTTTTAGAACTTTTGCTTGTTTAAGCTATCTCTAAGAGAACCAAATAGTACATTGGGGGAAGTAGCAATAGATGTCATTTGCTGGTTTAAATTGCCTTTAATAGTAACCACTGTCCTGCTATTCTCTAGGAAGGAAGAGAGAGTGGTTCAAAGTAGAAGACGCAATCAAAGTTCTCCAGTGTCATAAGCCTGTACATGCAGAGTATCTGGAAAAATTAAAGCTGGGTTGTTCCCCAACCAATGGAAATCCCACGGTCCCCTCCCTTCCCGAAAACAGCGCCTTGTTCGTCACCCCAGCACAGAGCCCGGGGCTGCCTTCCAGTGTGAGATAGGCCGAAACGGGAGGGCCGCCCACTGCGCCCAGCTCCCTGTCCGTCCGGGAGAGGCGTCCCCACTGTCCTTGGCAAACATCTGAATGATGCTCGCAATCTGAACTTGCCACGCAGGGATTTCAAACAATTTGCATGTTTTTCAGATGCTTTCAGATCTTTTAAAAAAGTAGTGTAAGATATTTTAATAAGCCAAAGCCATGTGGAATTTTTTTTAGATGCCTTAACTGTGCCCCTTTCTCAGTGTTATTTTGGTTGTCATTTTTCACAGCATTTTCAGTTTTTCTTGTCTATTTAAGCAGTGTTGCTTATTTTGGCAGAGATCAAATTATTTAATGGGGTATATTCCTCTTAAATTGTTTATTTGTAGCATTAATTTATTCAGCAAATCTGGTTGGAATTAAAAATACTTTTGGTATTAAAATTCATCTATCCCAGAATTTATTTTATGGGATCATGATTTTAATTCATAAATTGCAGATTCACTCAGACTGTTTCATTATGGTCTTTCTGTTTCGACAAAGCACTTTTAATTTGTTTTAGGAATTTATTGGCTCATTTTCTGAATCTTCATGTATTATGTCACCATCAACCAGATATGGTTATTTCCCCTAAAAGTCAAGAGTAGTTTAAAAATATGATATAACTCTATAGAGTTAATTTTTAGTGAAATACTGTTAGCAAAATGCATGTAGTACCTTGTCATGAAACTCGTATTTCATGAAATTTATTTAGCATGCTCAGTTGCCAATTCTTTTTATCTATAATCTCTCCTTACACAGTACGTTAGAACCGTATTTCCCTCGGTGTAAATTGCTCCTAAAACATAGTTTAATTTAGTGCCGTTTCTTCTTCAGTTAAACTTGTTTACCAAAAGCCACAGGATGGGCATCAAACAAACCTTCAGTGCCGGTCAGTGATGGCCGCATCCCAGTGGAGGCTGATGGCCCTTCTTGCCTTTCAGCTATTGCAGGCTTAGGGAGTTAGGGAACCTTGAGTGTCTCATCTTCCTAGGCTGTCAGTGCTCTTTGTCAAAGCCTTTGGGGCACTCGAACGTATTGGGAATGATCTTGTCTTGCATGTGTCCTCATACTCGGAATCAGGCATCCCATCTAAAGTGTGCAGGTGCACACCCTGTCTGAAACCCCCACACTTCCCAGATGAGGTCAGAGGTGAGGGAGGAGGAAAAACCTTTAAGATGTGGGGTTGGGAGAGTGAAAGAATTTTTCTCTGTGGACAGTCTTTTGTAGATATTACAACTGGTGAGTACAAAGTAGAAGTTAAAACATTTGCTCTATAAAATTGTAACCTTTAGAGAGATACAATTGCTGCTAAAAATAGTCCTTACACTTAAGGAAAATTGGTGCCATTTTGAAAATGAGATCTTGTGTCATAAATGCAGCTGAAATTAAGTATAAATGCTAGTTAATGCTGTCAAAGGAATGAGACATTTTCAACCAGTGACGTTCCATTCTAAATTATGCAGTATGATCGGACATGGGCATCCAGAATTTTTATATTTTTCTTTGTACAGAGGTTATGTATTCTGGGTGGTTTTTTTTTTTTTTTAAAGGAAACATTTTAAACCCCACAAATCAACACTTTCTGCCAGTCACCAGTGGACTGAAATTTTCTTTAGATACTTAAAAGAGAAACTGGATTGTTTTTGTATATAACGCTGCTTCCACTTCGAATGGCTGTCACAGGAACTTAGGGGGATTTCTCTTGTACATGATATTCTTAGAGGTAATAATGCATGAACTTATTTTATAAACTCGGACTATGTATTTGACATGTAAAAATGTACAGTTTGTCAGCCATCTCTTAAATTAGACTATAAATACTGTAATTTTCTTTGGTCAGAACATTTGAACTAAGTAGTGCCACTTGGGTCAGGATTTTCTTTAGTGCCATTTATTTAGCAAACCCGTTAGGCTATGCAATTAGCAAAAATTTGTATACAACAATATAGTTTTCACACGAGGGGTTCTCCTGGAACCCGGTCTCTAGCACAGTTAGAGGGGAAAGTCCTAAGTGCAGCAACACTTTCAGGCCTAAATAGTTGAATCTTCAAGATAACGTCTGATATCTCAACTCTCCCAAGTTCAGTGTGTTGGTACTGTCCTTTGTGCTTATTTGTGGGGTAGCTGAGTAAAATTGGGCAGCTAAGTTTCAGTTCCATGTGCCCCCTGCCCTGTATAAACAGAAAGTAAGCAGTTACTGTGAACTGATTTGCACATGAAGCAGGAACTGCCCTGCATGTTATTGTAAAGAGATGTCATTTTCCAGCCAAGCACAGGACATCCAGTTTTCTGTCATACCATTGTATAAAGCAGAAAAACTGCAGGGGAGGAATGATTGTTGTACACAATGAGTTGCTTTGCATGGTCTCATTTGAGATATAATTGGTGTAAGAATCTTGACTTTTTTATATTTGGAAACAAATAAAAATGGAAACCTGATCTTCTGGTTTTCTTTTTAGACAGACTTATACACAATCAGCTTTCGTATTAAGCTTAGGGCAAGGCACTTCCTTTTGACTTTGAATGCATTGCTGCTCAACTGTGGATCGACACCCTTCCCCCAGGAAGGGTTGGTGCACTTTTCACTTAGGGGTCCTCACTAGTGCTGGATTACTGGGTTTAAAGCTTTGGGTGTTATCACAAGGCTCGAATCATTTTAGGGTTAAAGTTTAAGGACTGTTCTTGTGAAGAGGAAGGCATACTGTGCGAAACATTTTCCACATCACAGTAATTCTCCACAGGTCTCCACACAATTTTGTAGACAAAGTCAAGCCTGTCTAAACTGTAAAGCATAACTTCTAATGAGTGGGTTATAGGCAGTGCCACTGTGCAGTTGATTCTAAGATTATTTCCGACTTTTCATAAAAATTTCTCGAGTGTTTTCCGTAGCTGCAGGATACCACACATCACTCTTGCTTATAGCACTGGTGGAACAGCACAGAATAAGTTTCTGTCCTCAAGGAGGCACATTCCTATATATAGGGCAGAGATCAGTGACTACCTGAGAAGTGATTAAAATATCTTAAGGTCCTATCATTTTATATAGGCTTATCTTAAAAACAATGAAATCTTTTATTTAAAAATAGGGTTGACTGCCGGGCGTGATGGCGCACACCTGCAATCCCAGCACTCGGGAGACTGAGGCAGGAGGATCGCTGTGAGTTCGAGACCAGCCTGGGCTACATAGTGAGTTCCAGGTCAGTCTCAACTACATAGTGAGACCGTGTCTCAAACAAAACAAATAAGTAGGATTGACTAGAAGATCAAAGAGATGGAGAGGAGGGACACAGGGTGAAAAAAGGAACTGAGGTATTACACGTACCACCAGTCCCCTACTGTGTACTGTAAAAATCGCTAACGAAGATAGAAGACCGCCCATCAAGTGTTTTAGCAACATTTAACAGGAGCTGTACAGCAACGACTGCGCCTTTGTCTCCCTTTTTAATATACTCACTATGCCATTGGCTGAATGTAGCAGTTAAAAGTGAGGACCCTCAAAGCCTTGCTTAGCAAGATCTTTAGAGCTAAGACCCAAATAGTCAAAGGTGCTCTGTGTCTTCGGGCCAGGAACCAGTCTTCAATTCTTTCATCAACCAAGTGCAGTCCTAGAAGTTAAGCCATTCTTTTGCATTTTGTAACATCTGACAAACATCTTTAGAGAAGTGGAAATCCACCCTTTCTACATCCCTTTCCGGTCGCTTGTCAAACAGCTCAGTGAATGCATTGCTTAAGGGTTCTCAGTATTTACTCAGCTTATTCCTCAGTCAAAACACTTCTTCAGCAACATTTGCCCATCGTCCTACTATCAGCCTTCAATGCCTTTTGACTATTATGCAAGGACTTCAACACCTATAGGAATGTGGACCAACTCGTACCAGGATGAGGCACTGGGATGGGGAGCCATTAAGTGCCCGGCAGCAGTGGGGTAATGGCTACCTTGCAATATATCCATATAGTGAGATATTATACCCCACAATGAAGTGGTATCTTCCATTAAGAATTTGGGTATGTAAACTTAGAAGAGCCTTATGGAGAACTGAGTAGCGGCCGCCAACACTTAAGTCCACGATTTGTACATCTTCCTGCTGGGTGGTCTGAACCACTGGTGGTTCATCTGGGGATTCGAGCCAGCGGAGGGAACATGTTAAGATGTGTATTGCACCACCCCTCCAACATTTCCAGTTCTGGGAATCTAGTTAACAAATATTTGGACAAGTTGCACAACCTAAACGTACGTTAGAGAATTTAGCAGTTTCTTCCAATAATGCCTGAAGAAGGTGAAGCTATACCCAGCATCGTGTTTTAGACAGGGTCAATGTAGTTGAGACTGACCTGGAACTCACTGTATAGCTCAAGGCTGGTCTCTACTCAGTGAACCTCCTGCCTCAGCCTCCTGAGTGCTGGGATTGGATTACAGGTGTGCGTCACCATGCCTGGCCCCAGCATTATATTTTGTGCACAACTTGCCTACACTGGAACAAGCACTTTTTATTTATTCTTGGTACCAGGGATCGAGAACAAGTACTTTTTTTAAAAAAGCGTATACAGATCATTTTCTGTAAGTCTACGTAAGTTTCTTGAATCATTTGAGACCTTATCGATGTAAGGGTCTAATACTCTAAACATAAAAAACTCGGCCTGTTAACTGTTTTGCACTGTAATTTCCTCAGAATACATTAGTATTGAGGAGGAAAAAGAAAACCAGACCTTTAATCCTTAAACCTCAGTAAGTGATTACTGTCAGGGTGGGAAATACAGTCTACCAACTATTTTTGTATCCACAAGAGTAGAAATTTTTTCTATCTTAGGTATTTTTTAAAAATCAGTAAGTAAAAATTGTATTGGAACAGAGCATGCCCATTTGCCCACACAGTGCCTGGCAGCTGCTTAACTACAATGGCAGAATGAGCAGCTGGTACAGAACTGTGGCTCACAGGACAGAAGTTTTACGAGGGGGCAAAGTGACAAAGTTTGACTCTACCTTCATAGCACAGTGCTACTGCTCCCTGCCCAGACCCGATCTGGTAGGGCTAGGGGCTTGGTTGAGCCCACTCTGGTACCACACACAAAGCGTGAGGACCTGGGTACAACCAGCCTACTTTTTTGCCAGGTCCAAGTCTTGAGTAGTCTATTCTTGAACATCAACCTCTGTAATGTTACAAGGTTATAATGAAATTTAATAGCTGTGACTAACCTAACTGTTCCCAAAGTCAAGATGGACCAGGGGTATGTGCTATGGAAATGTGCTGGTGATCCCAGATAGGTGATAGGCAGAGGAAGTTATTCTAACTTTTCTAGTTTCTAAAACATTTTCTGTACCATGTACAAATGGCTGAAGGAAATTACTTTTCCATCCAGAGCAGCACCGGGCCATAAAAATTAGTTTTATAAAACAATGAATTTAGGCAGGGCGTGGTGGCGCACACCTATAATCCCAGCACTTGGGAGGCTGAGGCAGGAGGATCACTGTGAGTTCAAGACCAGCCTTGAGCTATACAGTGAGTTCCCGGTCAGTCTCGACTTAGTGAGACCCGGTCTCAAAAACAAACAAAATGAGATTTAAGCTGATGCTCTTATACAACAGTAAGGTTACTACTGCTTCTACAATTCATCAGAAACAAGTTACATGGCCAGTACAGAGAGGCTCACCTTGCATCACACCATTGAAAACGCTGCACCAATATGCACACAGAGAATGAGACCAGGGCCAGGGATGCAGCGCAGCACCTGCCTGGTAAACTCCTGGCCCTGAGTTTGATTCCTGGTATATAAAAAAAGACCAGCACAAATGTAGCAAAGACAAAATTGGACAGAAGCAGGAAAACCCGGATCTCTTCATATTGGGAGGACATTTCAGTCAGATTTGCAGCCAAGGTGAATTTACCCAATTATAAAGCTATAGCAAAGCCAACTCTTAAAAATCGTTTCCTAGCTTCAAAGATAAAACGGAAAATAATGCAGAAGCATCTAGTTAAGGAAACAGACACATATCACCAGTCCAATTGGTGTATTACAGATTTTTATTTTTCAAATTACATTCATGTTTTGCTTTGTACTGTCATTTAAAATATAAACCCTGATATAACTCCATAAGATAGGCAGCATGCTAAACAGCTAAATTAAATGATGTTTCCAGCCCCCAAAATACATTATTCAAAGAAATATTACATTGTTCTTAGGCAGACGGGTGAATTGTGTGCTCTTTATTTATTTTCTGGACAACTTTTCTAGGTAAAATATTTCTAAACCTTTAGGATTACAGTCACAAAAACTGCCGTGGCTAGAGTAGCCAGAATACATTCCTAAACCATCAAATGGAAGAATATAGCCAATTCCTAGTGTTCCTGTAACTCCGTTTGGTTCTACTTGGCTGTTTATAGTGGATAAGACACCAGATCTTCCCTCTTCCCTTTTAAAAAGTGCTAAAGCACAGCACCTGTAGCTCTTATATACTGATATGTATTTAATCTTAAACACTTCTGAAATTTATTTTGAAAGTACACTGCTGGTCTAGAGTAAGGTTGAAGTCCTATATACACTGGGTCTAAGGTCATACTAGGTAGACTCTGAGGACCAAGGAGAACTGTCGGAGTGAAAACAAATGACAGCAAAGTAGACAACAAAACTCAAATCGATCCCAAATGTGCAGCACACATTTTCAAGAGCTCAGGTTCATTCTCCTCGCCCAAGGCTCTCTACTTGCTGCTCTCCCTACCTGAGATATACGTATGGGTCCCAAGGAGTAGTCTTGTACTTAGTTCCCTTCTCCATGACAAAGCTGCAACAGTCTGTGTCCCCTCCCTCAACTGTAAGGTCCTCGAGGGTCAGCCCCATGCCACCTCTGCCCTCACCCCCTCAACCAGGGGTAGGCAAGTACTAACCACATGACACCTCAGTTGCCTAACACCTCCACCTTCCAATTTTCCACTACTTGAAGAGTATGGTTTTTTAAAAAAAATCTACTTGGTGCTCATAACTTTGCTTGATAGTCAAACCAAAATTCGGACATGAAAAAGCCTGTACAGGCCAAGATCTGAGTCATGTGCCGCTCTTGCCCAGACAACATACGGTGCTTGTGTCAGTACCTTAAAACGTGTCACTGTGCTTTGTGTGTTGCACTTTATTTGCATAAAAAATGATAACCATGGCTCCAAAGAAAGTGATACCACCAGTAAAGCTAAAAGGAAAACTATGGGACTACCAGAGAACTAAGAAATCACTGTGAAATTTGTTAAAGCCCCAGAAAACTAAATTTATAAGTGTAATTCCTGGGCCTATGAAGCCAATTATTTTATTTCCCATTATTTCTTATGGGAAAAATAGGTTCACTTCTTGAACTTTTAGGTGCTCATACATGATTTTGGAACAAATGGAGTTAGACTATGGGATCGCTTGATTTTTGTCAAATAAATTGTTCCCTTTAGTTTACATGGAGTAGGACTACAGAAAGGAGCTGACAAGCTGGAAGGGACTCCAGCCAACCAGAGAAGAGCTGGGTAGAGAGGACAGTGACAGGTGAGAATCTTCCTAGGGTAACTGACCTGCCAGGCACCAGGCCATTCAAAAGAAATCTCTGGCTTTTCATGGCACTCTCTGGAGGTTAAAAAATGCTGGCATCACAATGAGAATGTTTAACCAACCGCTCAGTGTAGGCCAAGGAAAGAAGGCCCATAAGTCAGATGTCACTGTCAGTCTTCAGCACTGGCCTTGGCCTCTCCCAGATCTCACGAAGCCCCTCAGCCACACAGAGCTCCTGCCTCACCCCACTTGTTCGGAAGGCAGATCTCCTCACAACAGCAGGCTCTTACCAAAGCTACACAAGGGAAACTGCGGATGCCGTAAAATGAGAATGTCATGAAAAAACAGTGACTTATTCCATTTCTGTACTTCTGTAACTTGCAGGCTCACAATAGCAGAATCCTACTTTAGACAGATTTAAGAGGTACAACAGATTTAAATACAGAACTTCAGAAGTCACTGTGATATTAGCTATCACCGTGAGCAGTACACAACACTGATCTCTACGGACTTAATTACTTGAAGTCCTGTGCTCATTCTTTAGAATGAGATTATTTCCTTAGCTGTAGTCAAAGATGCCCCGTGCCAAAGAATTGCTGACAACTGCTGTAAATATATGGTTATTACTTATCAACAATTTTATTCTGAAGTTAACATTTGTTACTAAGCAATATATTTATATTTGGAAGGATACCAGTTACCAGTCACCAGAAACTTGCGTGTGTTGAAAATGTAATTTTAATAGATAATTCTTCATCTTACATAGAAGCACAATAAAATACACCACATTCTGAAGAAACTCCAGAAGTTAGAGGAGAATGAGTAAAGAAAATCCAGACGGGCTACAATATCCATTACCTTAAACTGCCAAGAATCAAGGATTCCAACCCACAGGTTAACATTTACATATTTATGACTGGCTACATAAGACTTAAAAATAACAAAAATTGGGAGTTAGATGTGGAGGTGGGAAAGGGAAGAAACTTTTACCAATGAAAATGTACTAAAACCAAATTAAAAGTTCCCACAGCATACTAGAAAGGATGGATGCAAGACTCATTAACACAAAGTCTGATGCTCTTGCAGGAAGAAATCTTTCTGATGACACTTATGCAAGCTGCTTGAGATTTCCTCTTAGTTCTGTAAGGAAAACTTGACAAATATCTCCACACACCCCAAATGATCATCAGATTGGTAATTCCTAATCACACACCAATGGTTAATACATGAAGCTTTCAGACAAGAACCAAGAAAAAAGGTCATAACCCAAATTGGAGACAAACAGAAAATAAGAAAGTGGCGCAAAATATGTGAAAGTCCTAGATGTCAGTCACAACTGCTTTCTTTGCTGCAACTCTCCTGTACAGTGATTTTCAAACACTGTGGCAAGACACCGATAATCACCTAAACCATATGACACAAAATATTTATTTCAAATTTCTAAATGGTTAAAAAAAGGTCAGATATTGATGCTTTATGCATGCTCAGGGCCTATTTATAAATACTCCATTCAGTAATAATATCAACACAAATCTGCACCTGTGAAAAGAAATTGGCAAATCCATCTGTTGCCATTCTATTTGTCTGATGGTGAAGACCAAAACAGAATGTTCCATCAGTTTTAATTTTTAAATACGATTGTCACATTGGGAAAATGAAATAAACACAGTAAAATAAACTGTACAAAGGCAAAGTAGAATAACAAAAAATATTTTACTAAAACATAAGATTTACAGAAGTTTCCAGACAAGCCATACAAAATGGTCACAAGCTTTTTTTGAAGGGGGGGAATCTACACTTGACAGCAAGGTCACGATGTTATTAGTGAGGGCGGTGATGTTTGTTAATGTTCCCATTTTGGTTCAAACAATCAGCTTGTCCATCTATAGCGTCTAAATAAAGTTAGACTTGGCTAGAGAGCATATTCTAGAGAACTGGTTAGCTGCTTTTTAAACAATGCAATTAGATTACCATAAAAGGGGGGAAAAGGAGCCCATAATTTTTTGATACTTCTTTTCCCCTCAGAAAATAAAATAAAGAACACCTATACCCTGCAGCTAACCCTGACAACTACCTTCATTCACAGTGCTTTATACTTAAACCATGATGGGGAAAATGCATAAAAGCAGAGGGCCACTGCTTTTAAATGTTTCACAACAATCCAGGTGATACTTCTAGCCTCTGCTCATGCTTTACAACAGTGACTCAGGACAAGACACGGATTTTCTAATGTGCATTTAATCACCAAGGACTGAAAATGTCTGGGCTTTTATTCTGTCATGTTTCTAAGACTGTGTCCATTAAATGCAAACGAAAAAGGGAGACGTCTTGGCAGAACAGGAGAAGTGACACAAACTTGACGGTCGGATCGACCTAAATGTTATTCATGGCGTATAGCCTAGTCCATGCTCTAGCTGTAGACAAAACAAACATGCAATTATTATTGTACCAAGCTCAATAGGTTACTTGCCAGCATCTATGAACAGCAAACAAATACAATAAAGGTAATTGCACTATGACATGGTGCAATCTCTTAAATTCATGCCATTGTCCGTAAACCATCAAAGGTTGAAAGACTTTCTTAATGCTGAATTAGTGGGACAGTACAATGAAACTCAAATGATCTACAAATTCAAGCAGATGAGAATTATCCTTCATTTCTGGACAGTTAATGCTCTCTACTCATTTTAACTGTAGCAGAATGAAGCTTACTGATTCTATACTTTGGGCCGGGGGACAGGGTTTTGTTATGTAGTCCATCACTTTGAATTCACTATGGAGCCCAGGCTGGCCTTGAACTCACAGCCAGTCCTCCTGCCTCAGACTCCTAAGTGCTGGGATGACAGGTGTGCACTCCCAGGCCGGGCCTGATTCTATATTCTTTAGTGACACACTGCTGTATGGTTTCATCTTCTTTTTTTTGGTACCAGGGATGGAACTCAGGTCTTTGTACTTGCGAGGCAGGCGGCGGAACCACTGAGCTAAATCCCCAGCCCTGTATGTTTCATCTTCTGAAGAGCTCAGAAGAGTTTAAAAGTTTCCCAATGTCTACATATAGCTAGATGAATGGTAGACATTCCTTATTTGTTGAGTCCAATGTAGTTAAATTCAGTCTAAGATCTCCCAATTAGACTGTTTTTAATGTGGGGTTTCAAGCAGGGCATAAAGATATTCATCTTTTAAGAGATACAGTGGTACCTCAGTTAATGAGCTTAATTTGTTCTACAACTTTGGAAAAGATGGTCACATTTACGTCTGTGGAAAAGATGGCCTCAGTCGTGTTTGTCACCTGATGAAGAGTTTGCAAACGAAACACTTTTTTGCCAAACCCACTAGAGCGTTCATGAACTGAGGAATCACCATATTTGCATACCAAAAACATCTGCTTCAATTATTTTCCTTTTCCTTGCAAAAAGCTTAAAAAAGATTTTAATGATGCTACAATGTGCTTTAAACGTGGACGTTGTAAGGGAGAATGAATTGCAATACCTGTTTCTATGGCTTGGGCTTCATTGGTCTTCCACTGCTCCGCTACATCGTTCGCTAACGGATCATCTGGATTAGGAGCACTTAACAAAGCCTGGATCGAGAGCAGAACTGTGCGGATCTGCAGTGCTGGGGACCACTTATCTATGAAGGCAACAGGCCCAGTAGATGACATGACAGAGCACCAAAACACAGGCCCAGACCTGCTGCATTTCCCTCCCACAGACCTTCGTGGTCTTCGTACAAGGTAAGATTACAAAGTTTACACTCCAATATGGGATGCTCAGAGGAGGAGGAGAAATCAGAGTAATAGCAAATGATGACAACGTGACACTTACCTTTCAAAATATCTAAACATATTCTTCCCAACTTGTCTACATTAGGATGATAAATTTTGGTCATGAAACGTACTTTAGGTGCTGCCATTGGGTATTCTTCTGGAAGAAATAGTTCAAGTTTAAAAGTCCCTCCCTCAAAGGGGGAATCCTGGGGGCCAGCAATGACCACATGAAAATAACGGGCGTTGCTCTCATCTGGTTCTGCTTTAATGCCAGGAACTGGTTCTGCCAGCAAACGCTGAGTTTCCTATAATACAAAAACAAAACAACTGTGAAACAAATGCCACTTCACTAGACAGCAAAATTAAAGTTCATCTCTTAGAATTAGAACAGAACCTCACCAATCACCTGGTGAGTTTTTATTTATAAAATCCAAAGACCTTCAAATAAATGAGGTTCGCTGAGTTCAACTGCAAAAGAATACTGATGGTTCACTAAAATATACTGATAATAAAGTCAGGGTAAAGAAACTCAAAAGAATTAGGTGTGGTATAGCCACACCCCTGTAATCCCAGCACTCAAGAGGCTGAGGCAGGAGGATGCCAAATTTCAAGCCCAGCCTGGGTTGCATAGTGAGTTCAAGGCCAGCCTGAACTACATTGCTAGATGAGACATTTCAAAAAAAAAAAACAAAAAACCACAACAAAAAAAACCCATGGGTTCTAGTGAAGTAGCTGACACTGAAATTGCACACCATTCCACGCTGCCGGCTCCTACCCCAACTCTCCACTTTATCTCCACAGCACCATGAACAGATCACCTCACTGATTTGGCTCTGAATGGAGCTCCATAAGAGGGGTTTAAGTTTGATTTTATTCAGCTATATCCTCAGCTGTTGGAACAATGCCTGGCACTATCACAGATGTTCAATAAGTACCTGTTGAATTATGAATAAACAAGTATGGAGTAAACTATTAGAATTTCATCTTTGAGCCAGGCACAGTGGCTTTGTGGTTGTAAAAGTGGCTTTGTGGTTGGGAGGCTGATGTTCACAAGTCAAAGTCCTGCTTGGGCAACTTAGCAAGACATGATTTCAAGAAGAGAAAACAGGAGGGGCTGGGAACATAGTTCAGTGGCAGAGCACCCTGGATCTGATCCCTGGCACTACAATGACAACTAAAATGACAACAAAAAGAATTCCATCTTTAATATCACTAAAGGAGACCATACTTTGAAAGCAGAATTTGCATATCACAGTAGGAAAACAAAAGGATCCATTTAGGTGTGGAAGAAACAACCTAAGATCTACTTGTATTTATTTCAGAAAAATGTTACTATGTATATACACAAGCTGACAGCAGTGAGTGTGACATATATCAGGTAACACATTTCTACACTGAACAGGCACGTGTAGGTAGAAAGTTCCCAAAAGGATCACATCTAAGCTTTTAGGTGTGAAACAATGGATGAGAGAGTATTTAATTTACACCAACTTAAAGCCCAAAAGGCAATAAAGTCTTCCACCTTGGGAAGCCTAAGCCTGCATATGACCAGGAACAACATAGTTTTTAAAATAAGGAATAGAGGAATGAGAGGGAAAACTGGATGGCAAAATGTATTGAATTCTGACCCCTCCTTACCTCCATCCTTTTTAACCCCAGGTTTCCATAAAAAGGGAGACAGGATAAAGAAGGCCAACAATCTCAAACTGCCATTCCCAGGTTATGCAAAGCAGTAGCAGCTCTATTTAAAGCTATAAAAAGCTATGAGAAAGGCCTCCAAGATCAGATCCCAAAATAGCTTGAAAACTGCTCTGTATACACCCAGCAGAGATGATACCATGGCCCCTCTCTCTCTTCAGTTTACCCTCAGAGCCAAACACTCCTTCCAAACAGTGCACCCACTAAGCACCCCACACGCTCTCATCACCCTTAAGATTTCACAGGAACACCTCTGAGAATAAGCTTCGGGGGGGGGGCATTTTGAACTAATTTTTTATATGCGCTAGGTTCTAATTAATTTGACACAATGAACAGATAATTATTTGACTAAACACTGTTGAATTCCCAAACGAATCCACAGCATACATTCTGGGAGGAACACATAATAAAATCCAAACTAAAAGGAGAGTCCCAGACACCAGCAGAAACAAACTGATATCAACTTTTTTTTTTGGTACCTGGGATCGAACTCAGGACCTTGTCCTTGAGAGGCAGGCGCAGTGCCAATGAGCTAAATCCCCAGCCCTGATACCAACTTTTTTCCCTAAGAATGAAAAATCAGGTAGGAAATAAAATCCTTCTTACTACTACTAATACATGGTCAACTGTAAAATACCTTCTAGTTTTATACCATTCTTGGTCAAAAAAGCAGCACTTCCTTTGAGGCAAAAGGTAAAAGGTAAATGGCTCAAATTACTCCATGTTTGCACAGTTGCATTTGTGGGTGAGCTTGCCCTGAGCCAGCTCCCTCCGCAGGTTTCATGCATAATCACAGCAACCCCTCCTTACATACTTAGTCCCCACTTCCACAGTTTCAGCTACTTTTGGTCAACCTGGTCAAAAAATGGAAAACTCCAAGCCCAGCATGGTGGCATATGTCTGTAATCCCAGCACTCTAGGAGGCTGAGGCAGAAGGATCACAAGTTCAAGCCCAGCCTAGGCAACTTAGCAAGACCGGCTCAAAATACAAAAAAAGGAAAAGGAAAAAGAAATCTGGAGGTGTAGCTCAGTCAGTGGTATAAAAGCTCTTGGTTCAATTCCCAGTACCATCCAAAGAGTCTTTATTAAATCCAGAAATACCCAACTAAACTGTGTAACACTTTGAGTAGCATGAGGAAGTCTCACTGCCCCACCTGGAAGTGAATCATCTCTTTGTCCAGCCTCCCCACAAAGAATACACTGCTGGCCCATCAGCCATGAGGAGCGGTTTACTAGCAGTCTCGGTTATCGGTTATCAGAAGGGCTGTCACGACTGACCAGAGCAGTACCACACAACAGACCCTAATTTTACTTAAAAATGGCCTTGCAGTGCAACAGCGGTGATGCTGGCAATTTAGATATGCCAGAGAGAAGAAAAGATGAGAGAACTCAAGAAACAATGTATGCCGAGGTTGCCAAGATCTCACAAGATGGCACACAGTAAGTGCTCAGTGAAGATGGAAATGGCACTGAACCTGTGTGTGTAAGTACAGGTAACAAAGGGCAGCCTCAGTGTTATCAAATGAAGCCACAGTGCAAACTGCAAAGGAGATCAAAGGAGCCCAGTCACATACAACTCAGACTGTACAGTACAAAGCACAAAAACAAACCTCAAGACTTATTAACAATGTTTGCTTTAAAGAAAACAAAATAACGTTTAACTGCACTCTGTGATCCTACTGTTTAAAAGTAATCCAAGATGAACGCCCAGGTAGAACTGAGCTTAGTACCACCCCAACAGAAAACAGTATAGACCATTCAGGAAGGCTGTTACTAAAAGGTAGAAAAGGAAATACATTTAAAAACAATAAAATGCAGATGTAAATGGCAACAAGACTTAGGTCTAAAGAAAAATATCTTACAGAACACATACAACAGCATATGCCACAAATACTTTTAAAAGAACTGACCTAATTATCAATAGAGCCACTGGAACTTGAACAAGCCCAAGAATCACTTCACAGTAAACTACATCTGACAATCTCTCAAAATCAGCTTCTTCTAAAGACTGTTTTCACTTTTAGGTTCACTATTTTGTGCTATCAGGTGATATGAAGTCATACATTCTTTAAGCTAATGATTAAACTGTACAAAGTAAAACCCTAAAGACAGACTAAACAGTATTCTCAGCAAAGCGGTATAATTTGTTAAAGGTAAATTAATTTTAATAATATTTCTCTTAACCCAACATACTCAAAATATTACTTTAACATATAAGAAAAATAGCTGCTCTGGTGACACATTCCTATAATCCCAGCACTCAGGAGGCTGAGGCAGGAATGGCAGCCTAGGCTACAGAGTGAGGTCCTGTCTTAAAAATATATATATTCTTAATGTATTTTACATTTTTATACCATGTCTTCAAAATGCAGTGTGTAATTTATACTTAAATATGTATCAGTTCAAAATAGTCTCATTTCAACTGCTCAACAGGAAATGGGACTAGCGTGGTTAACACCAGGAAGTGAGACAGGACAATCCTATTATGTTAATGACAGATCATTTAGACTAATTTAACTTACTATAAACAGCAGACAAAATTATGTAGATTAACTAAAAATCACCAGTATTTATCTCTGGCATCTAGAATACTGTTAACAGAAATGTGTGTGAAACTGCTTGCTTCAACCAAGACTTTTTTGTGGTACTGGGGACCAGACTCCAGGCGCTCTACCACAGAGCACCATGCCCTGCCTTTTATATTTTTATTTTGTGACAGGGTCTTGCCAAACTACACAGGTTGGGCTGAAACTTGTGATCCCCCTTCCTCGGCCTGAACTACTAGCATGCGCCGAGACACCAAGACTGCATTTGAAATGATCTGCATCAACTTCAAAAACACTGTGTGAACAAAAAGGAATTCAGAACAAACAGCAGAATGATGTAAGGATTAGTTAAGGAAATGTTAATTTTTACAGAGTACACTACCCCCTAGTGGACATAAGATACCCTCTGCTTCAGATAAAGTAGAGATGGCTTCCTTTCCTTTGCAAATGAAAAAAAAAAAAAATCGCTGTTGTAAAAATTATTTCACCCAAATCCCTAAGTTTTTAAAGAGTACACCATATAATCACTCCTATAAAACCAAAGAAAACTTAGAACTCATTTGACTATGTCCTTTAAACAAGTCTACCATGATCTAGAGTCTAAAAGAAACAGAAAGCTGGGCGTGGAGGTACATATCTCTAATCCCAGCACTCAGAGGAGGATTGTTGCCAAGTTTGAGGCCAACCTGGGCTCCACAGGGAGTTCAAGGCCAGGCTAAACTACACAGTGAGAACCTGTAAAAAAAAAAAAAAAAAAAAAAAAGATAAATGCAACAGAACTTAAAAAGCCAACAGAAGCAAAACTAAGCTAATTCTGTATTCCCTTTCTGCTTCTGCCTTCTTGGTATCTTGCCCACTAACCTGTTACAGCCCCTAGAGAGGCAGCTGGGAGTCATAAGGATTTCTTGAAAATGCTTGTCCTAATGTCAAATGACAATTGTGTATATGTATGTGTGTGTGTGTATCTGTTTACACACTCAAACTTTAAGCCACAATTTCTTAGGAAGACGATACAGGGAAGAAAAAACGGAAAGGAACTACTTTAAAGACTATGTTACCAA